TTTGATTTGGAAGGTTATAGAAAGGAAACGAAATAATTATTGGAAAATGATCACTGCCATAAGTAGAAGACAAAATGTCCCACTCTAGAACAGAAGAAAGATTGGGAGTACATATAGATAAATCTACAGCACTCACACTCTCATTCGGTTCTGTACGTCTTGTCGGCTTTGAAGTATTTAGAACACATAAATTATGATGATCAAGGATATCTAACATTAGATCTCCATTAGGATTAGAAAAAGAGCTACCCCAGGATTGATGATGACAGTTAAAAAATCACCCATAACCAAAAATGGCTTTTTCAGTGAAGATAGGAGATGATTAACTTCATTTAAAACTTGTTGAGATGGGTGAGGAACATAAATAGATACATAACAAACATTATTGTATGAAATCGCAATTGCCGAAAAGTTATCAGAGTGTGGAGGCAGTGGAACATACGTGAAAATAACAGTTTTTTTAATTAAGATTGCTACACCACCATATCCATCCAATCTGTCTTTTCTATGGCAAATGTATCCTTGCATATTAAATGATAAATTTGGCCGCAGCCAAGTCTCCGAAAGAGAGATAAGGAAAGGATTAAATTTGTTAATTAAATATATCAATTCACTTTTTTTATTAACTATGCTCCTGCAATTCCATTGTATAACTTTGGCTTGATTGTCCATTGTTAAGAATTTGTTTAAGAATATCAAATGTTTGAGCAACGTTGTTCGGTGAAATTATTTTACTTAGTAACAAAGAATTAATTAAAGGAATTACAACATCTGTAAATATGTCTTGTTTTTCATTCCCATTGGGTGTTAATGCACATCCGTTAGACGACATTGGGATTTCAAAGTCCTTAATTAGAGCTTGATGAGCTGCTTTGTCATAGCCTTTGTTGAAATGGGGAAGAGGTCGAGTTTTTTAAAGAAACTGTCTTTTTATATGAGTTTTTCAATGGTTGGTTAATATGTGATGACAAAGAATGTTGTGGCCTCATAGACTCAGCTGAATATGTGCTAGAGGGAACAGATTTAAGAATGTCAACATAAGACTTAGTGACAGGGGGGGAGCATTTTGGAAGCCTCTGCATATGAGATGCAGTTTTGTGCCATGGTCAATTTTATTTGTTTTTTGTCTAGCCCATTCAGGACATGATTTGCTAATAGCAAAATGTGACCCAGAACAAAGGAAACAGAAAGCACAGTCATCATCTTTATTGCAAGAGTCACTTGTATGAACATCTCCACACTTAAAGCAGCGTGGTTTGGACCTACATTGAATTTTAGTGTGACCATATCGACAGCAGTTGTAACATTGTATAGTAGGATATGTGTAAAGTTCGACAGATAAAGCATTATAGCACATATAAATGTGTTTTGGAAGAACCTGACCATCAAATGTTATAACTACTGTCTGTGAAGGTTTCCAAACTGGAGACCCATCAACAGTTGTTTTATAATTTAATCGTCTTATTTTTAAAATTTCACCACAACCCATTGGCACAGTTATGTTATTTTTAATTTCATCTGGGGACCATTCAGCTGGCACTCCTCTTACAATACCCATCCTAGTTATGTTGAAGGTTGGAATAAAGGCTTTTAATTTCTGTGTAGACAAAGAAGGATGATTAATAAAAGTGTTAGCATCAGTAAAATTGGAAAATGCAAGGGAAATCTTGTTCCTACCAATTTTTTTTTATACTGCCATTGATGATATTCCTAAATGCATTTTTTTTTAGAAAATTGCCAAAGGACACAGGGTGGAATGAAGTACCATCATTAAATGAAGATACTTCTTTTTGAACATGTATAATATAAGGTGATAAGTCACTGTTTTGGTAAATCTTTCTATATTCGACACTAAGTTGCTCGGGCTCTTTTGATTCTGTTGTTACTGGTGATGCAACATTATTTAGAATGGTGCTGTTCTCATCACTATCGCAATGACAGGCATGCTTAGTTTGGTCATTCTTAGTACCAGAATGACTGCTCCTCCTTTTTTTATTGCAATGTTTGCAAATTTTCTGCAAACGTGAGCGTTTTCTAATGATAAGAGTATTCGACGCATCAGTGTCCATACAAGACTCGCCATTAGAAACTTCTACATTGTACGCAACCTCGGGGACTCCACCCCCGGGATCAGGGGGTTCATTCATTATAATAAAATATATAAAACTTACCTAGGTATAGAAATTAAACTATTACTATTAATAATTAACTACACAAAGTAAAAAAAATTACATATATACACAAAACTTCTCTGATTATTATCACTAAAATTAAATAAATGTGATTTAGAGAAAAAAAACGCGCGCTTAGCTTTCAAAGTTTCCCGCCTTTTTCGAGCACAAAGTACTTGTTTGTATATTTGTTGCTGCCCAGGGTTGAATTTAGGTAGAGTTAGTACACAAAATTTAAAAGAATAGTATTTGACAAAAAATTATAGTACACTATTATTTTCATAATTAATGCACAAAAAATAAATTATTTAACTTTTTATTAGTTTAAATTTTGAATAAAAATGGAACGGCCATACCATATAAGTTATAAATTAATCGTATTATTACACAACTATGACCTCTATAACTTACCTTAATGAGTACATCTTCATTGACTTTTGAGAAAGGGTAATATCGAAAAAAGTACCATACACGGTAAGTCCCATGTTAATTTTTCATTGTAATAACTATTTATAATCTATGCTAATAATAGACGAGTGGTAAAAAACACTTTGTATTGTTCGATAGCATTACAACGAGATTCCTTAAAGAAAAGTGAATGGTATAAAATTGGTATATTTAGATAGAGTAATGAATTTGTAGTACTTATTCGTACTATCCATAAATATAGATAGTATATAGTACGAAGCATGAAATTATAGTACAAATACTATAATTATAGTACAAAATCCTACCCTGCTGCTGACTGACATTTGAAATCGATATACAAAACTTTGATATCCGATTCGATTGAACCTTCATCAATTGATATCCGATTGATCACAAAAAATGTACTAATAATAACTAACCACGACGTTCCATAACCAATACTATGCAAAAGGATATCAGTGCAATGTTTTCTACGTTATGATATTGATATTAGCTTCATCACTTTCTGATGCATGATTGCTATAGTGCCGAAAGGAGATAGAAGGAATAGAAAACTGTCAGTTATGTTATGGTTTTTTTTTATGTGAAAAGTTGCCAAACGAGCAGACGGTTCACCTGATGTTAAGTGAATACCGCCGCCCATGGAAATCTGCTACACCCGAGGGTACCAGATGCGTTGACAACCGTTTGAAAATTGGTCTCCGGCCACCTCACTCACCAGACAAAACGCGAAAGTATTATACTTCCACTTTACGCCGGTCTTTTGTGAGGTCGTGGTACTTACCCGGACGACCCTGCCCATTTGTGCAACAGCCGAGGCTGCTGCGTGCCCCTAACACCGCTAGGCTGCTGCGTGGCCCTACCACCAATTTATTAAAATTAAATATTTTTAGTTAGTTATGGTGGATATAATATCTTTTGTGATAACGAATTATTCATTACAGAAATATTAACAACGTCTAGTTTTATTTTTTTATTTGAATAGCCATGACTTCGAGTTGTGAAGACAATACGATTAACAGATTACCTTAAGTATTTTTTTTTTTTTTTCAGATTTATTTTAACTTTTATAAGTTATAAATTTGACAGCAGTGGGAGTTTGACATTAAATACCTGTATACCGTTGATATAAAAAAACAGAATCAGTTCGAACTTCCTTTCGTTTAATATAACCTTTGCAAATAAAACAATTTTAAAACGAGCACCTATACCTGAGCTATCCCGGCTCACTTTTAATACATTGTACTCAACCTGTGTTCAAATAACGTACAAATGAAATTGATAATTCTTAGTGCTAACTTATCACGAGCAGGCTCACGTGGTAGACTATTCCCTAGTATACTCTCGCCCGGTTTCTAAAACACTGATCATCGTAGATGTCAATTAATCTGTTTTGAAATGGCTTTTCAAATGTCATTTGAGTTGCCAAAAGTATGTTCAAACTCTTTAAATTGATTCATTAAGAAGATCATTCTGGTCAATTCAGAGAGTTTAACTTAGGTTTGGCGGATATAATTTCATACTGATATTGAATCTTTCATAATAGAAATAATGTCTAGTTTTATTGTTTTAATTTGCATCGCAATGGCTTCAAGTTAGGAAGACCACACCATATGTATTTTTTGAGATTTATTTTAACTTTCGTAAGTTTTAAATTTTACAACAGTTCACTGCACTCACAATTCCAATGTCATCAGACGTTATTGCTGTACCTGCTGATTTAACATAGAACACCGGAATTAACTTAAGCACACACAAGCATGTTTTAATTTTATTTGCAGTTTAAAATACATAAAATTGTAGTTAGTCATCCTCACATGAAAAATATATATACTTTTTTTTGTGGAATAAATAAATTAAGAATACTAAACTAATACATAGCAAATTAGTTTTTTTTATCGTCCGTACTATTAATTTAATAGAGGTATTTTAAAAAGGTAAAAACATTACAGGAGTTGCAATGTGTAAAAATAATTTGTCGTGTATTATTCAGGGACCTGAAAACTCGAGTGACAACACAATTATTCGTTCGAGTCACAACATCATCTTATTTGAGTCGATTATTACGTCTTGCGTAAGGCGATCTATTCTATCACTGTTTTATTGGTATTCACAAGACTAAATGCAAATTTTTTCAGTTCCTTCTCTTAAATATTTACTATAACCACTTATTTATTTTAAAAGTAACTTTTATTACGTTTTGAGGAGTGTTGCCATATCCAAATAAACTATGGTTGCTTGACTTATTTTTCTGTACCAGTTGCGACCGCAAGACTGCCAACATTTTCAATTTCATAATTCATTCCCATTCCCACTCGTGAATGCGATCGATTACGAGCAGGGAACATTTTAGAGCATAGTAAAGTTGTGTGTGTTAGTTGGCACTCGGTGGGTTCAAATATGAGTCTTTTCAGGATTACCTCAACAAAACTAGTAGAAGCGCAGGTAAATATACATTAAATATAAAATTTTATATAGTTGGTACATTTCATACTAAAGAATAATTTTACATAACCTTCGAAGCACATTTTGAATTTGAAGTTATGTAATAGAATGAAAATTATTTTTAGATCACTAAATATTGCTCTATTTAGATTATTTTTGATATTTTATGTAATTTTCTTATAAACTAGCTTTAGCGATAGATTTTATTAGTTACGTACCACCGGGAAATTTCGCGCTAAAGCGATCTAGCACGCGCCCTTTTATAAAAGAGTTCTTTTATTAATTTTTTTAATGTTTGATATTTTATCACCCTGCTTTAACATTAACATTTTTCATTAAAATTCGGGTCTTCGGCATAACATCACAGTGCAGAATATTTTTTCTATGTATAAATTGAATTATATAAACGTTTTTTATTGACAAATCAATTTCAGAAGTGTGCTTATTATATATAACTTATTTGCTTATATGAAGACCTATAATACTCTATAATAGGAACATAAAGAAGAACTTTTGAGAATTGGAAATGGTATTTCGAAAAATAATAATATTAGAAAATCGTTAAATATTGGTGTGCTCATGATTGGCCAGACTTATTTTTAAGGTTAATTATCAGACTGTATTTGTTCCGATTTCATGATAGTAACATAACACCTGTATTCAGAAATGCATATTTGTATATATATATTGTATGTTACTAGCATTTTTTTTACATTTATATTATATTTGATGAATAAAAGAAAATCGTGTAGGTAAGGTTTTTTGCCTCATAATATGAAGATTTCGATTTGAACATTATATCTCAAATGATTTAGCTAAAAACAAGAATGAGCCACGTTAAATTCATTTAGTACGTTCATACTGTTTCGAATGTAAATTATTTCATCTTTATCATTCGACGGTGGCTTTTCACAACTAAACTCACAACTTTAGGTATTTATAACAATTAACAGCCATTATCTTGTAAAGTGTACAGCATTTTAATCTCGAAATGTTGTATAATCCATGGCGTATTAGCGTGGCAATATCCTTGTCCGTGGAATCTGTGTCATTGTCACACAGCGGCCTGCTTGGTAACCACAGCTACTGTGACTATTATCGATAACATCATTTTCGCCATGTGCTCGTGATGTTCAATTCTAATGTCCAAATTGCTACTTCATAAATGATATATTTGTATCCGCGTAAGTGCTAGGACGAGTTTAAGCAACAACACCAGAATCCCTTGCTACGGGAAGGGCGTTTAGCATGAGCGGCCATTAGTGAGCCAACTCCGTTCGACTTGTAAATTTAAGACAACAAAGCTGGAAAGCTCGCAACCGCTTACAGGGTTGCCCATAGCTTCCGTCGCCATTGGAATGATTATGTAACAGTTTTATCGTGTAGAGAGTAGTTCAGTTTGGTCGGTCGCGGTGGCCAGCCGTCACGGATTGTTATCTAAACCTGAGGCGGCTTTCTGATGCGTCTCCGCGCTGCAATCTAAAGATAACACGCAGGTCGCGCCCGTGCCCACGCCGGGCGTCCACCAAGGCATCTCCGAATGCATCACGTGCCTGCGCTCAGCTTCTCGCCCTCACGTGATAGTTCGTTCGAATTTAAAAGACAGCTTCTCGCCCTCACGTGATAGTTCGTTTAAATTTAAAAAACAGCTTCTCGCCTTCAAGAAGGGCTGTGAATGGTATCTTCGGGCTTAATGATAGGAAATTGCTTATTCATTATAGTAACTTGGTTGTCAGTGAAGGGGAAGGTTTCTTCCGCATCTCTACGAGTACAGTAGACTAATGTTTTCACGCAGCTAAGTTTAATCTAAAATGTTGTATTTTAAAGTGGCAAAGGATTTAAAATTCTCAACAAACAACATTCGCCTCGTTAAATACTTAACTAGTAAAGCGGTCAGTAGATACAAGCGAAGTGGCTAATTGCGGATGTCGGAAAAAAAACTTGCCCGTACGCCAAGTTCAGTGGAACTAGCACGTTCAGGGCCACGACCGTAAACGGGTTTCCGAATTATGTCTTGGGCTTTTCTCGTCTTAACATAACGCACGGGAGGGTAAATGTGGAAAACGTGCGCCTTCACGGCGCATATAAATAATTATATCATATACGAAAATCCAAGGAGGAGTGTGAAATTTATCATACTTATGGTTCATAAAGAGAACTTTTTTAATTTTGCCTAAAATACCTTAAATCAATTAAAATAACATTAGACACATTACCATGTATAATGAATTATATGGTAGATCCACTATAATTGGAGCCATTCGCACGAAATATGGCCGATTTTAATCCTATGGTTCGAACCACCTTCCGTGGTTCTGTGCTCATTAGTAAAGTATACAGCTATTCCTTCTAAATGTTAAATAAGTAGGCCCGTTTTAAATTGTCGACACTTAGCTTATCTTAGACATAAAAGAATATGATTTAGAAATCGTTTCTTTTTTTAATGTTTACACGAAACATCGGCGTTATGCAATCTGTGGCTGTGTTGGAAATTTTCCATACGGTATTAAATTCTTTCACATGATCTAGTACCGTCACATTTTCTTCAATATAAACTTCTTGTGATATGTTATCATGACAATCTTATCGCGAGGAATTTGATGTGACAAAAATTTAAGGCTGTCGGGGCACTGTTCAATCGTATACATCTAAATGATTGATTGTTGTCAAGAGTTTCAGGGCCCGAGTGCCGCTTAAAGTACGTCGTAGACTTTGGTAGGGTTCTAGGTTTAATTCCGAGTAATTAAAACTAAGGGTGTAAGTTCTATTTTTCCGAACCAATTCGCGGACAGCCGCATTGAGTAAGAATAATTTCGGACAAGTAGCAAGGACCAAGTAGGTATTGGGATGGCCGTTGGCTTTTTGCGATTAGTCATAGCATCGTTACAAATCTGCGTTCGACATCGACGCATTTAAATAAAGTATGGCGGCCGATATAATTTACATCGCAGCCACGAAATTTAATCGTGTTTTCGAACACCACGTTGCCAGACCCGCGTTGCGGAATGTTCTAGAGCTGTAGCGTCGTGATACTCGTGTAAGTTGCGTGTGTGTGTATGTGCGTGTGTATGTGCTTGCGCTTTACGCGTGTTTAAACTTATGAACGAAATTGTTAATCGACCGATCACTGTACGTTTGTAATATGTGTAAGCCGTATGATAAGTTCGTGCAAACAGAGGTCCGTGATTAGCGCTTGATACTGCCTGTTTGCGAGACTGAGAGCAGAGCGTGTTACTTATAAATGTTAGCACGGTAGCACTGTTTGTTCGCATTTTATTGATAAGCAAACTTGTCATAATTGAAAGCTTAATTTCTAATTAAAATTTTTAACAGCAGTCCTGCGTGTTAACGGGGTAGAGATTAAAATATGGAATGAGATTGAACATAACTTATCTTTTATTCCAGCTGCAAAAAGTCTCAAAACTTATCGCCTGTTTCCATTGACCGACATTTATAAAAACCACATAGTTTCGTAACTTCGTGCTAAACGCGGGAAACTCTTGTTCGAAAATCAAAAAACTTTTGGCGTTCTCATTGATTTTATAAGAGCAGTCGCGTTAGGCAATCGCTGAAGGTTCTTTTTATATCGATCTCATGTAATTTTGGCGCCTCTTTCTCGTGACGTCAACACTCGTTGCGAGTTCGTTCCATTATGTATTGTGGCGTACACTCTTAGTATCGAGAAATATTCTTGAAACACAAGTTTCCATCTGCCATGTTTATAATTTTACTTATATATAATAAACGCCCTCATTTGTATTTGACATTCCCGATATCGATTGCATTTACGTGTTTTCTCGAAATGCAGAGAAATCGAAATTAAACGCAACAAAATCCTTACAATAATTTAGCATTACAAAAGCCGTAAATACCTACCGCTTTTCAGATATGTTGAACACAAATTTATTAGTTGTATTTCGATCATGTTTGTCACATGTACTTATGTTTATATTAGCGACAGAGTTTATTATCAACCGTCTTCAAAAAAGAAGGCTCTCAATTCTGTTGTATGTGTTGTATTTATGAAGCTATTATGAAAAAATTTTTTTTTATTGCGTTCGATATATCTCCCGTGTGGGTCCCATGATAGTTTGATTAGAATTGACCTTGGAAACCGAATAGTAAATTTATAATGAGATTTATTTGAAGTCGGTTTTGTCTTTTTATAGCAAAAATGTTCTTGTAAAGCACCTACCTACTTACACCTACCTACTTACACCTATCAATTCATTTAAATAAAAAAAAAAAATAAGGGAACAGCCTATATATATGTTCCACTGCTGGGTAAAGGCCTCCTCCATCCAGGGTATTGGGGCATTGTCCACCAAGCGGCCCCGCTGCGGGGATTAGCGGGCTTAACAAGTCTTGAAAAAAATGTTTTTGTTATTATTTCGAAAAATATGCACGTCTCCTCAGGCTGTTTTCCTTTACCGCGGAACACGTGATAGTCAGCCCTTAAAATTAACAATTTCATTAGTGCCGGCACCGGGAATCGAACTCAGATTAATCGAGTATATTGAATTAAAAGCGAGTGCCCGAACAATAAGATATCAGTGGGTTATATCTCAAGTTAAAATTTCAAATTCCATACGTATTTTTAAATATTACACTTATATTAAATCCTTAGTTGTGACTTTGTTAAATTAAGTAACTATACGTTTTAAGCGGCGTACCCAATCAAACATCGCGGAAGGTAGGTTTAGCTGTGGTCACGTACTAATATGAGGTCGCCTTTGCTTCCACATTGAAACAGGTTTAGTTTTACGTTATCCAATCGCTTCTAATCAGATTCGTATTTTTATTTTTTTAACGATATACTTGGGTCGATTAACACATTGGTGTGCGGTTTCTAGCACATAGCATAGGTAACATACATATCACCAGATTGTCTTTTAAGACGAATTTAGAGCATTGGCGATCTGGCGCTTTTGGGTCATCAGCTAAAGTGAACTGAATGTAGAACGGAGCATCCCGTTGCTAAGGCAACGCTAGTCCTACTCGTTAGTTGCCCTAGCTCCGTCTGTACAAAAGGCTCGCCTCATACATATGAGCGATGTTTATATCCCAGAGCACCACCCGACGCATGGCTCATGGCCTCATCGAGGCGGTTTTGTTGGCTGGGAATCCCACATAACACTAACTTACCTCCAGTGTACCAGATAAGATAACCTTGCCCTAAAGATACAAGATACAAAATAACGAATTTTGTGTATTATGTAAATACTCATCGGTCTATCGGGAGAGTAATAAATCTTTTTTTTTTATTTCAATTGCGGACCACGGTAAAATAAACATTTATTCGTGATAACTCACAACAAGTTAGCGTATCACGCGTTGGACCGTTTAGCGGCCTTTTTTCAAATGTGAACAAGGTTAATACAAGAGTTGTTTCCTTGAGGCTGGCGTTGATCTCGGATGACGCGATTGGCGCATTGTTAAGGTATCTCCGAGGCCTTATTAGGGATTTAATCACAACTATAGCATTGAAAGTTACTTCTACGATGTAACAAAGTAACATACCTACAAGTTTGATTCGGTTTTAGGGCGAGAATAAAACACCATCCGTGAACTGCTTTGAAGTGTTATAGTTGCAGTAGAAATACACAACTAAAGTTAATGTATTATAACTTTCTATTAACAAAAAAGATGACAGAACAGAAAGTGACACAAGGGCACCAAAGTGATATAATTTTCTCTTCAGTATTTGTGTCCAAAATCCCCTTAATGACTTTGTCCTGTTATAGTTATCTGCGTACAAACCTTTTCTGATTAATCAATTATATGTCATAATGAGTTATGCCGACCATACGGCAAATTTTAACTATACAGGAGGGCTTTTCTCAGTGTATCCATTTTTTAAATTAAACTAGACATAAATAATGTTATATAAAAAATTATAAATATTTTAAATCACTCGTAAGTAATTAATTACCTTCATTTGAACTTATCTCAAAAAGTGCGTGATTTATACGCAACTCTAAATGAGTATAAATCAGGCACTTTTTTACGCGCGATCATTCATAACTAACACACACAAGTTCGTTTGTGTGCGTGAACAGTAAAATTTAAGTATTCATGAATACTACCACGTTGTCAACAAGTTCTATTTTTTAGGGAATAGAATGGTAATTTTTTTTTTAAAAAAGTTTGTTTTAATTCAATAAACGATTAGTTAGTTAACGAGTCTGAACTCTCGGTGTAAATTTGGGCACTTTTTGTAAATTCTCCCTGTATAGCGGGTTGCACATCATCATCACCGTTTCAACCTGTTAGAATCCACTGCTGAACATATATAGGCCTCACGGACTGTCAATAAGCGCTTTCCTAGCCATCTAGATCCACCAGGTTCCATATGTTTACTCATTGTAATTGCTATAAAAAAGGCCTCTTTACAGAGGGTATCAGGGTATAGTATACCAGGCTGCCCCATTGCGGATTGGTGGACTTCACATATCTTCGAAATATTTCTTTTTGGTATTATTTCGAAAACGTGCAGGCAAATTGAACGAAAGACGAGCGCCCGGACACTGAGCTATCGCTTACTGAATTAAACTAATTTTATTTTTATAAGTAAATCCCCTATTCCGTCTTTCTTTCTTCTTTCCTAATTGTTAGATATATCTGCTGATGAATGAAATGATCAATTTTCCTGAAACTTTCGTAAACCAGTGAGAACTATATTATTTTAATATGTCGTCATGCTTCTTTTTTCAATATCAGGGTCAAAAAAAATTATCTCAACTTTTGTAAGTTCTGTCAATACGTGCTTTACTTTTAGTCCTATCGGTATTTGTTAGTGTGTTGTGACATAAATATATTACAAACGTTAGAGATCATTGTATAGTATAATATTTTTATTGAGACTTGTTTACGGAGCAATTTAATTTAACTTCAATGTTAGTATAAAAGTTGTCTGCTCAAACCTGTCTTTAGATAGATTATTTTTTTCCTTATTTGTAGGCCTTGGTTCGGTGAAAAACAATTACAATAGTTGGGTCGTTTCCATATAAAGTGAGGCTTCGTGTTTCCTCGAGGAAAAATTTAGGTGCTTGAATAGGGGTCTCTTTGTGAATCATTGGGTTTTAAGTTTAAAAATTACGAAGTACATAATTTTTCAATACATAAAATATGTTTTCTTACATTTTCATATTTGAAATGATTTTAAAAATTATTTTTGCACTGTGGTTGGTTTAGCTCTACTGTCCCGTATTAATTTTATCGGCATTAGTCCTTGGATTCCGGAGAACGTCAGGGAACTCCTCAAAATCAAATAGAGAACGAGTAATATATTGAGTGAGGTATTGGATGTTGGTTTTTGGTAAAGTGTTCACGTATTGCACAGATCTAGTAGTGTCTGTTTTATTCCTTTTGGCCAGTTGTTTACCACAAACAACTTCCACATATGGATTTAAAATAGATTACACTTTAATAGAGCCTACCGATTACTCCATACTTATTGCCAATAAGATCGACTTTATTTTTAATGTAAGGAGATGACAAGTGTGCTGCCTGTTAAGTGATAGCAGTCGTCTGTGGACATTTGCAACATCCGTAGCTACAAATGCGTTGCCACTCTTAATTAAGTGGGCCCCGGTTACCTTACTAACGAGACGAAACGCAGAAGTATAACACATCCACTTCACGTCAGCATTCTTTGAGGTTGTGGTACTTCCCCTGACTGAGCAGCGCATTCTTTCGTACACCTAAGACTGCTGTGTGGTAGAATGACTGCAAAATTTATTCGCGCCAGCATTTTCAATCGGTACTTTTTAAGCGTGTACAAACGATTAGTGTGCCAAGTTCACGAGCACGTGCATACTTGCCCACCGTTCACAATTTTTATTTTTTATGACACATTTTTTTTCTTAGCATCGCTTGTATTATGGGTACTAGAAAACTGATAGACATACTTAAACGACCTTTCTTTTGTAAATAAATACACATTATACATATAAAACACCCAGACACTAGAAAAACACTATGCTCATCACACAATATTTTTCCAGTAGTGGGGATCGAACCCACACCCTTTGGCGCAGAAGGCATGTACACTACCGACTACGCCATTCGGGTCGCCAATGAATAAAAAATAATAAAGATTTGCAACTATTATATTATTGCTAGCCACCTCAGTAGCTCGCGTGTAATCGAGTGGCAAACGTCTTCTCCGATTCCAGCGGGGCTTGAATGTTTGTCATTGGCTTATTATGCTTGCGGTTTTTTTCCCCGGTGTATCGTATAAACAAAGTGCATTATACGATTTGTGAGACATTGTGCGATGTTCGGATATTTAATAACTTACGGGCGAATGTTTTATATTCCTCCGTTCCGATTTCACCGTATATACCCGAACTTAAAAACTTTTGTAATAATACGCAGCCACAATTCATGAACGGCTTTGGTAGATTACAAGATTCTTTTCCAGATATTTTTCATTCGAAGCGAAACGTTGTAATATTAAACTGGCTGTTCGTCAATACCCTTACTAATATTATAAATGTGAAAGTTTGTATGTACGGATGGTTGTTCGTTAATCTTTCGCGCAAATACTACTGAATGGTTTTTAATGAAACTACAATGATATAGCTTATACATCAGAATAAGACTTGGGCTATAATTTATATACATGTTTTATGTACATTTGTCTTTCTGTCTGAATGTTACGCCTTCAGCTTATTTTACGCAGACGTAGTCGCGGGCAGCAGCTAGTATAAAATAACAATGAAATCGACCGCGTGAAGTGTTTGCGATCAACAGTTCTCAAAAGTACACCTTACAAAATGGTTTCCGTGGATCGCCTTTCTTTCGAGTTTTACTCATAATGTCGTTTCCTTTCAAGAAACTATGCCCAACGGCGACTATTCTGCTGAGGAAGTTGAGCGCGGAGCAGACCAACCTCAAGAGCGTCCTCCAGGAGAAGATACCTAAGGAGCAGGAGAAGATCCGCGAGTTCCGCAAGAAGCATGGCGCCACCAAAGTCGGCGAGGTCACCGTCGACATGGTAAGGGAACCTTAACCTTCGATAATCATCGCAAGTTGACTCCGTTACGAGTTTTTTTTTTCTCGTAAAACAATAAACGGAGAATATTATTAAGCAAGTCACGACAGTCATTCAGCTTTTGCGGTTGTAATTAGATACAGTATGGCGGTGATTCCCCATCAGATTGGAGGGAAACGAGTCAATGCAACTTATCGCTTTTTAATCTTATCGTGGAATTGTGTGACGATTATTTATTAAAACGCGACTTACTGCAACATTGATTCCAGTTAACGGTATCGCACGTGCTAAGACCTTGATAATGACCTCGATAACGACGTTTCCTTAACAATTGTGAAGGTGAAATCTTAAAGAAAAAAAAACTTTTCTATTCTCCTTAGATTCGTTTTATGAAACAACCTTAAACTAATAGATTCTTTCGTCTTGTTCTCGATTCCTCACATTAACTTCATTATGTATAAATATTTGTGGGTATTTTTGGGGATCTATTATTTATGCCAACGATTTGTTAAATACGCTTTTGGCTGAGGGGTCAATGTATGAATACGCTTCGGATATGTGTACATGTAAGCGTCCCATTGTGTCCGAAATTTAAATTGTCCCCAGTATATTTCTCTACTTCGTACCTATGTAATTTATGTATTTTCAACATTTCAAACCGAATTAGTTAGTTTTATACAGAGACGTTTAACGTACATGGCTACATGTACAACCTTCAGCATTAACAGAGTACGAGCGCCGAATGTCAAATAAGTCTGTTGAAATCCTGTATAGATGTACGGCGGCATGCGTGGTATCAAGGGTTTGGTGTGGGAGACTTCCGTTCTGGACCCCGACGAGGGCATCAGGTTCCGTGGTCTCTCCATCCCCGAATGCCAGCAGCAGCTTCCCAAGGCCAAGGGGGGCGAGGAACCCCTCCCCGAAGGTCTCTTCTGGCTCCTTGTAACCGGAGACATACCCACCGAGGCACAAGTCAAGGCCATCTCCAAGGAGTGGGCGCAGAGGTGAGCTACCAAACGAACGCCCTCGCCGATGACTCGGAAACATGCTTCGTTGATATAGTATATTATTAAAATTTGTAGAAAAAGTCCGAAAAGATTGTCGCCGCTGTGGCAATCGAACCCACGTCTTCATTCGCGGCCTGACACTTTAGCCACTAAGCTAAACGGCTGATTGCCACACCGACGAATATCTTAACGTCTTCTATCTACATTGTTTTTTAGCATTTGAAGCAAAGCTTGGCGACCATCTTTTTGGTAATTAAAACAAATTAGAAAAGCCATTTGACAGCTGATTAGTTGACATCTACGATGATGAGTGTTTCAGAAACCGGGCGTAAGCGTCGTAAAATATGTATATAATGGAGTACCTATGTTAAGAGTGTCAGAAGACGTGATATACATATAATTTGTGAGAGCTGTTTGTACAATTATTTTAGAGTTACTGATCGTACTGTACGTATAGATATAATAATACAAAATGAAAATCTACCTTATTCGGTGAATTCATGTTTATATTCTGTAAAGGGCTTTGGATTGTCCAGGCTATTTCCGGTTTGTCCATGTTTATCCATCATCTACGTACTTTTGGGACTAAAAAGATTATATTAATAAGACTCCACTTGACGCTTAGATTAATTCGAGGCTAATTGACGATCCTCGAATTCAGCCGTTTCTATCTGAGCGTTAACAAAGAAACATTCTCGCTTGTTAAACAATCGAGTCTAGACAAAAATAACACGTCATTCACTCGAATGATTGTCTCTGTCGTGAATCAAATTCTCGAGGTGAGAACCGCAGCTAATTTTCGCAGACAGTTTTATGATTATTAACTGTGTACTTCTTTTCTATGTAGGTCTGCCTGTCTTATTGTAAACTATATACCTACTTTTATACATTTAATACGAAAACAATGTACAATACAGAAATATTTCTAATCAATAATATCTGTTGTTATTTTTCTAGGTTTTTTGTATGGGTTCGGTCGAAATTCTAATTAAGATTTTATTTAACAACATTTTCGAATTTTCCTGAATTTAGACATTAATTTGGTTAATTTTAAAATTACATACACGATGCTAAATATAAATATAGCATGTCACTGAGTTATTGAATCTTAGTAATTTATCAGACAAGTCACATTTGACCTTTACTGTCATACTTTACTGTTCATAGTCGTCATCATTTCAGCCAGTTGTATTGTTATTGTCGATTTGATTGTATTTGCGGCAGCTGATACTAAGAAGTTTACGTTCTAACCCAATCAGGGCCGAGCTGCCAGCTCACGTCGTAACTATGCTGAACAACATGCCAAGCAAGTTGCATCCCATGTCGCAGTTCTCAGCGGCCGTAACGGCCCTGAATAGCGAGTCGAAGTTCGCGAAAGCCTACTCCGAGGGTGTCCACAAGTCGAAGTACTGGGAGGTGAGATATAATTTTAAATATACTGTTGGAAATGTACTGTTCAACAGTATGTTGAGAATATACTGTTCTATGAACGGAAGTATGAATATTTATTTATTTTCATCAAACACAGTCATGTAGTTAAATTAAAAGAAAATATAACTAAGGCACGAAACCAAATAGGTATGTACTCTGTACGATTTACCGATTTTATGTACATATCAAAAATTTTAATAATACATAACAAACTAGTGTAAGATTAACACAAAGCGCTTATTTCAAAGACAATAACAAATTACCATTAATAAAAATTTACTTCTATAAGTAAAAAGCAGTGAACAGAAAAAAATGACTACCAAAAAGAAAAATAATAGAAAAACAATGGGAAAAAATATACATAACACGAGAGATATACATACGGCTTATTGTTAAAGAGTGCAGTAATATAGTGAAATAATTTGTCGGTGTCATACAAGTCAAGAGTGAATAAACTTGAACTCGGTGAAGTGTTTGATAGATTTGATACATGAATGGTATATTCATGGCCATCTGGTGTTTTAGCAGCGACGCAAAGTTCATAATATGCTCATAAAATGTTTGTAGCGACGCTTCCCATAACAGTCTCGAGCTGTTTTTAATGTATAAAGTCGCCGGCCTCATTCGAAGGCCAATTTAAAATCGATTTGCAAAACATTTATAGATCAAACAAACGGGCAAACGAGGAAGCTATCGTATGGTATTGTTTCGTTCTCCAGTTCCCGTTATAGGGAAGCCAGAATAGGCATATACAAAAAATTATCGCGATGTATATTTTTTTTTGTTGTAGGGTAACATTCAGATCTAGACAAACACCCAAATCCGAAACAACCATCTGTGGTTCACACAAACAGTTGTCCTGTATAAGATTCGAACCCACGGCCGCCGGCGCCGAAGCCACTGCCCGTGGCGTCTGCACCACGGAGTCAACTTTGTTTGTGCGCTGTGCACATTCCCGACGAAACTCAATTGTTTTAACATCCACCCCGTCAGTATGTCTACGAGGACACAATGAACCTGATCGCGAAGCTGCCCGTGATCGCAGCGACGATCTACCGCAACACGTACCGCGACGGCAAGGGCATCGGCGCCATCGACGACAACAAAGACTGGTCGGCCAACTACTGCACGATGCTCGGCTTCGACGACCCCCAGTTCACCGAGCTGATGCGGCTGTACCTCACCATCCACAGGTCGGTAATAGTATGGGACCCGAGATGGCGCCCCGCGGGACTCTCCCCCAGCTAATGTGTCTTAGGCCGCGGTAATGCGAAATCCAAGCGAGTCTATTAGAAATTTTCGCTTTGATTTGAAATTCAAGAAATTTAATTCGTCAAGTTACGACGCATTTCAAAATTGCCATTGCTATCCTCTGCTCCTATTAGTGTTAACTTCGCAATGCAATCGAAGACCGTATGTAATTGCACGAATGTTATCAGCTATGTTTGGTATGGAGATTATAGTAGGAAATTGTAATACAGATTACCGCAAGGTAATGATGGTGCCGCTAGTATACATTTTTAACATAAGTAAGAAATGTGTTATACATAGTTTGTTTACTTTACTACAAGTGCATTAGATCACTGTGGGTATAACAAAATACCTACATAAACTGAGAGTCGCACCATTAAACGTTTTTCCCTAAGCGTGGCGTTACCGCAATAACATTTCAATACATTTAACAGATATATCGGTTCATTACGCATTGCTAGCCGCGTACCTTGCGCTTGCGTTTGTTGCGAATGCCCTGTCGCGTCATTTGTGATTTGCCTGCGAATTTAACCTCCCCCCCCCCCCCCTACTTCCATTTTATTTTTACGTGTGTTACATAATAACCCCCTGAGCGTTACTAATACTCATCGATGATACTAACTTTGATTTGTATCGTGCCATTTTTCGTTTCTTCACCATCGTTGTGTCTAATTATTTTAATGCTAAACTCTCTATTACAATTTGTTTAACACCCACGTGACCTTCAGAGCCAGAGTCAAATTCACGACCTTGACTTGAGCCATGTTGTTGGTGGTGTCGACGCAAGTTCGATTGCCGCGTAGTGATACGCGATAGGAGGAGTGTATTAATGTACGCATTTTAAAAAGAAATGTATTTTTAAGATAAATTACGAGCAAATGATACAAAACGCTAAGAAAGTACAGTAAAGTAAAAGTCTATACATATCCCACTGCTGGGCAAAGGCCTCTATGCAGAGGATATCAGGGCATAGTCCACCATGCGATCTCACTGCGGATTGTTTGGTCAAAAGTTCGTTTTTTTAAGTCTTCCAACTACATTTGTCAACTACATAAATGAATTACATGGGACAGATACGTGTTATTTGTACTTAAACGTGGTCAATTTAGCGTTTGTGGAACTGTGTAAGTATACGTTCTCGAAGTAAGGTTAAAATGACGCAAATAGCAAAGTAACGTATATTTATTCCATAACCGCCTCATATTTAATGAGCGATTAATAAGTTTAAAATGATCAACCCGCCGATACAGATGACGTTAGGTTACGTAAAAGTCGCACGACTTTGATTTAACCTTAACTCCGCTGCCGATTGCGAAATTTAATCGTTGAAAAACAAGATCATTGTCAGAATATCATTGTCAAGAAGATTGTCAATTTATCATAGTACCCCATGTAAGGTGAACACTTTATACTAGTACTATTTTTGGGGATTTTATATGCTTTTCATTTATATAATCTTAATTCATAATGAGTATACTAAGTGGTAAATACAGCCTTGCTCGTCCGAGTGTTCATCGCTAACTTTATTTTTATACGTTATTTACGCGGTAGAAATGTGTTTCAAGTGTATTTCCTCGCAATCATAGCGGATCACACGCAAGATATAAAGGTTTGCCGCGGTCTCTTCAAGCAAAATTATACTCTATTATCTTTAGTGTAAGTGTTTAACCTTGAGACAGAGACAACGAGATTTAAAATTATCACGAGTGCGCGACTACGTGACGCGCTGTAATTACATAGCTTTTAACTTATTAACGCATTGTTATCGGACCGCCGTTATGTAATGCGTTAAAAAAGTAGTTGTCCTCCAAAACGTGTTCGATATTTAAAAAAATTGTACGACCTTGTTTAACAGCGCTTTAGGTACTGATCCTGTAGCTTAGATCGCATTTCTGTAAAATTCACAAGAAGCAACATATAATGTAAAAGAAGCAGTTAAGCAATGTTATATGTAATTGGCATGTTGATAATAACGCCAAATAATAGCGAATAGCATTTGGCAATCATATAATAAAACTGCTGCAGCGAACATTGTCCCTACGAACATGCGAGCTATGTCTTTTAATCTCGATTTAAAAATGAATATCACATGTTGCGACGATCTCAAGCCCACTGGATACGGGACAAATCGTGACACATCATTCATGGTGATGTCATCCATTTATAAAGTTCTGTTTTATTGTTTGCAGCGACCACGAGGGCGGCAATGTGTCTGCGCACACAACGCACTTGGTGGGCTCCGCCCTCAGTGACCCGTACTTGTCCTTCGCGGCAGGTCTCAACGGCCTAGCTGGACCTCTGCACGGCCTGGCCAACCAAGAGGTGGGTGTTTGTATTTTGTTTGAGGATTTGGGTAGTAAGTCTCAACGACCACTGCAACATAGAATATCTATTGTAATCTTCCATTCAAAAACATTGCAACATCAATGTAGGATAATATTATCCTGTGTTGTAAGGATGTTTTACACACATCAATTTTACATGGACAAACAAATAGTTGTCTCATGAGGGAATCGAACCCACAACGCCCGGCATTGTAGCCATTATTTTGACAACTGGGCTACAGTCATGAAGAGGTTAGTAAACTGACAATGAAAATTCATGCTCTTTATAGAGTATAAAATAATTTATGCTTTACTTACACCCCTGCAATATATAAGGCCATTTGATTTGACTATGCATACATTGCTTCTGGAACATAATGATTCATTCATTCCTCCAACTGACTCATATGTTCATAACCGTACCATTTTATCTACATGAGATAACCAATGGGTTTCATACTAACAGAATACAAATTTGTTAATTGAAAAAAATGTATTTGTAAACTGAGGCTATTTTTTAATTAATAAGTTTAAATACGTACCATACGTATTTAATAATTTTTAATTAATTGAGGCCTATAAATAAACATAATTTCTGCAAGTAAGTTGTCCCGCGTATATCCACGTATCACGAAGATTTTAAAAAGTACTACATGATCTTTTATATATTGAAGATAATGGTGAAAAATAATACTTAATAATGTCTTACTTCAATATATAGTATACTGACAAAAATAACATTTTTAATATAACTAACATTCAAGTAATGTCTACCACATTAGATCTTTGATTGCTCAGATTAATAGTTTAAAGCAGTTTAATATTGCCCCCTGTTTCGCACTGCACCTGTACATATCTCGCATTACCCTGGGTTTTTTTTAGTGATCACCCGAGTTCCTTGGATTTACTCTTAACATTTGTATGTTACTCTTAACATTCATCTAAGTTTTTTGCTACTATAAGTAAATAATTAGATAAAGAAGGGTGAAAAATGGAATAAAAATCACATAACTAAAGCCCTCCAAAGCGTAAGAATCTAGTTGTCTAAGATTTAACTTAATTATTATAATAAAGTTTTGCAGTTTATTTTCTTTTTTATATATCTAGCATGATATTGTAAAAGTTATTTTAAAATATTGTATATATAATATAATTGTTTGTCCTTATAGCATAGGTACTTATTAATAATAAATGTCGACACATGCATTTAAACAAATAATTCTTATAGTTCTTATAAAAAACTTCATTTGAAAGTAACATATTAAAAAGAATATTTTTATTATATAGGTGCTCATCTGGCTTGAGAAGCTACGCAAGCAAGTTGGTGACAACTTCACAGAGGATCAACTGAAAGAGTTCATCTGGAAAACTCTCAAGTCTGGACAGGTGGTACCTGGATATGGCCATGCTGTGCTCCGGAAGACTGACCCTAGGTAAAACAATATAAAAATATCACATATGTAGATAAAAATATACAAGTAGTAAGGGTTGGACAGATTAATGATGTTTCTTCACCAGCTAAATAGCATGTGATAATAACTACCGTTCATTCTAAGTTAAAGTCTAATTATTTTATATATTTTTATATAAATTAAGGCTGGTTGGGAGCTCTTATGAGAAAAAGTCTTCATCTGGTTTACAAATTTAGCCCAGCCTTAAGTAGCAGCCAGCAAGGAACACTGGACAAATATTTAAACTATACATTATTTTTATCTTTTAATGTTATTAATATATTTTCTTACCGTTATTTTAAATTTGTTTTTTTAATAATGTTTTGTGTTATCACAAAAATATGAATCTATTGCAACAAGTGCACTTTATGCTATTTCCATATCGCACTCATTACACTTATCTGTTGCAATAAGTATTAATATCTTTGTAGCCATATTAATATAAGTAAGATAGTCAGTATTGTAATTTAATGAAATGATAAAACATACAGTACGACATAGAGCACACACACATAGACTTTGAAATAAGTTTCAGAATTATAACATTTTGATTGGTTCCGACACCAAAACATAGCTGATGAAAAGTATATATCTAATTATTGGTCAGGCAGATTTTACTAATGGTTGCTGTGCAATTGTTGACACTACCTAATTAATTTACTTTATTGTCTCTAGATACACATGCCAACGTGAATTTGCCCTCAAGCATCTGCCAAATGACCCGCTGTTCAAGCTGGTCGCAGCTGTTTACAAAGTGGTGCCACCAATTCTCACTGAGCTCGGCAAGGTCAAGAACCCATGGCCCAATGTAGACTCTCACTCTGGAGTCCTCTTACAGGTTCGATAAGACAATATATGTTGCCAATGTGAAGAAATCCTCTTCCTTAAGAATAGGCATTTTTCAAAATTCTAATATCTCTTTATTCAGTACACATGTATTACGCTTATTGATTGTCACAATACTACTACCGGTTCGGAAAAAGCATCTGAACCGACATGAACTGACGAAAGAAACTCTGTACAAAATGCCTATCTTTTCTATACATGGTTACATACATGTATAGAAAAGAATATTATTTTTTATCTCTAAATTTCGCAAGCGAGCTGTGGTTCACCTGATGTTTAGTGATTGCCGCCACTATTGGAATTGTTCAACACTTGATGGGTTGCAGAGGCATTGCTAACCAGTAAAAACTGGCCCTGGTTACCACTTACTCACCACACGTAACGCGAACGTATTAACTTCCACTTCGCAACGGTTTTGTATGAAAGCAGTGACACTTCCTTGGACGAGTCTGCCATATCGTTCAACAGCGGCACTGCCACATGAACCTACCGCACATAAATAATGAAGCATAAAGGTTTCTCTTACATTTAAAACTGCCTATTAATTTAATACTGGACGCAGTCACACGTGTCAATGGAGCGATTGTTACAACCGTACCGTGTCTCCCGCTTCCAGTATTACGGTCTGAAGGAGATGAACTACTACACCGTGATGTTCGGCGTTTCGCGCGCCCTCGGCGTGCTCGCCCAGCTGATCTGGTCCAGGGCGCTGGGGCTGCCCATCGAGCGGCCCAAGTCGCTCAGCACCGAGATCCTCATCAAGCAGCTCGGCAAGTGAATCGCGCCCGGCGCGGCGTGCACGTCACCGCGTGCGAAATCTCGCGCGCAGTGACGTACACGCGAGCGCGGACGCATTCGCAAGTCGTGACGTAACGGCCCACGTGGCCGTGTACAGTCAACTGCATACAAAGCGTCGAATCCAATCGATTTGACAACGTATTGTATGCGGCACAGTCAACTGACTGTTATGTAACACCCAATCACTTGACTGCACGTCGCTACGCGTTTACGCAGTGACGTCGCATCACGTACTAGTTTATAATACGCGTAGTGTTGCGTCACGACTTACCTTTACGTCCGTTTCGTCCGTACGCAGTAACGTGACGCTCGCATAGGCCTATGTACATGGATCGATTAAACACATCGAATGTTCACGGTAACAACGAATGATTGTTCGGGATATTGTTAAATTTTTCCATATTTAAATCGAATATTGATTGTTAAACGTAACGAACTTCCCACCATCGTTATGAGACGAAGGCTTTGGCGTTTGTTGGCGTTTGAATGTGTAAGCGGAGAAAGCTTATTGCATAGCATTAAAGTGCTTATCGCGAGGCACGTTGCTCCGTACTATATTAGTGCGGCCAGTTAGGGCGGTGCTCGGTTGTAGTGTAGTGTAACTTCTTAGCCCAATCTCTCTGCGAAGCAGCCTCTACTCTTTTCCTCTTCTAGATCGAGTTGTCAACCGTCACCTTAACCTTAAACTTGGGGTATTTCATTGTGTACTTTGTTTCATTTTAATCATTTGTAATTTATTTGTCATTTTTCGAGACTCAATCAAGCACTTTCTGACTTTCAATACCCGAATATGTAGAATATATAGAATATTGTATACTAGATTGATTCACACATAACCAACAGTCAATTGTTTAAGACAATTTTAACCGTAAGAAATGCAGACACTGCTCACGTTTATTATATTTTTAATGTACGCGATTTTCTTCAAACCACCCCAAAACTAATAAAATCATTGTCTCGGTCTTAATTTATTTTTCTTTTAGTATTAAGAATAAGTGATGCATTTTTTGTCTTTTTTTTTTGTGATTTATATTGTTGTTGAGAATTCAATTACGATACCACTGTGTACTTACATCTGTGATTAATATAAAATATTATGTATGTATTTAATTTCGAGCTGTTGTTATGTATATTTTGTGAAAATTATAAAAGTATTGGAGGTGAGAAATTTACACCGGGCAGGGGTCTTAAATTGACTTGTGTTGGTGTGATTCAAGCAGTTTTAGTTAATTACAATAATCAGAAACCAATGTATGGAAATAGTGCTCGTAGATCAAGTTATGTAGCGAATTTGGGTACCTTAGCCTTTGGGGTGTTATGTATTATCTAGGGGTCACACTAATCAAATGATTAACTTAGGACTAGCTCTGTCAAATTATTTTATAACAACTGCAACAAAATCGAATATTTTGTCATGTAGTGTTTGAAGAGACTCCATACGTATCGCCTTATGTTAAGGTGCCCATAATTTTGTACCACCGTGAGCACCATGATTACCACACCCATTCTCCTGAACACCGTGAGGAATCATATAGTTGTAACACTTTATTTAATATCAAGTTACCAAAGTATTCATTGTAATTTATTTGAAAGCGTTGTCGTCGATTGTAATTGATTTGTTATCGAATTCACCTCATCTTGTAAACACTGGGCAGTAATATTTAGTTTTAATTTATATGGACGGTTTCGTTCAGCGTATCGACGTGGTGTCACCGCCAGCCCGTATCCGTTATGTGAATGTATAACGTCCAAACCATTGTTTCCCAACCGTATTTCTCTTGAGCGATTGAACAAATTAATATTCTTTATTTCACTTAATGTAGAAATGATGGGTACAATGGACGGCCTTATTAATAAAAGCAGTTCCTTCCAGGCAACCTTTCGATGGATTCAAAACAAATTAATTTGTGAGTCAAGTATGGGTTAGTTATTTTAATGAAGGAAATAAATAATTATGTAACTATAATCAAAATAAATGAGACATATAAATATGTAAGTAAATAACTAAATGTTTCCACAAAAGGCTAACAATAGATAATATAAATATACAAATACCCACAAATAATATCTCTCTCACTCTTGTAACCCTAATAATATCAATTAAACTTAATTGTGAACTTCCAACTATATCAGTTTTCTCATATAATATGCAACAAAAATATTTTTTTAATACTTATAATTTTGGATTATTGTATGGACACTGAATATGGAAACCTTGGTTTGGACGTTCCCCTCAATCTGTTTATTATTCATTTGGAATCAAATCGTTGTTCGATTGTGTGTATGAGTTTTGGGGGTCGGTACTGGCCTTCGTGGCTCTCACCGGCCGGAAAGCGGTTCAATAAATTGACAATACTAAATGAAAAAATAATAATATATGTAATAAAACGGTGTGGTTGTAGTGTTTAATTGTGGTTTTCATTTAGATTTATCTCAACCTATCCGAGATCCCCATCCCTTAGGAACTAAGTTATTTATCTACAAACCAAGTCATAGCCATAGCCGGGAGACAATAATCCGAAGTTGTTCCGTGGGTCTAGCATCATATAAATTTACGATTTATTTTTATCACAAGTGAAAGATAAAACAAACACATCTTTAGTACCAAAACCTACTACAAATATCTCCCCGATATTTCTACGGAGTCCATGGTCTGATACCAATCAAATTAATATGGGATCACATTGGAGCTAAACTGGACCTAATGCAAAAATTTTAAAATCTGTTCATATATAACGGGAGGTAACAAACTTAACAAAATAATAACCTGTTCCTTTTTTAAAGTCTGTTGAAAAATAATAGGTACATTGACTTTTTAGAGGATCTAGGCAGTGTAAGAAACTGACGGCTAAATGATGCGAAGTATATATTTAAATTATAATAAATATTCGCATTATATTAAATATTAATCATTCCAAAAGGAAATATAAATATATTTCCTGATGATAACAACAATTTTAAAGTCTTATATTGTAGAATACAAATTATAAAAGTTTCAAAATTCGCATAGAACATACATTTTGGATTAAAGTAATACTTTGTTGTTTTTTATAACCCTTTTTACGTTCTACTTATTAATTCCATTAATAATTTTTTCATTTGCAACAGATCCAGATACCGTACGCAAAAAGTATCCAAAGCAGAAATGGAACAAGTAATAGCGTGACTTGACTAGATCGAGATCTTAAACCAAGATAACAACACATATAACTTTATATTTAATTTAACATATATTTGTCGTTTTTTCCTTTAAAGTTCACGGATTTGTTTTCGTTTTTTTTTATACTCGTCCTTATTTCGCTACTTCACTACCTTTTTATGGAAAAAGGAGGCGAACGAGCAAGCGGGCAAGCATCACCTGATGATAAGCGAAGCCATGGACATTTGCAACATCAGTTGAGTCGCAGTTGCGTTGCAGGCCTTTAAGGAGGTTTATTAGGAGTTGGTATCCTATTGGTATATATGCAAGGAGGTTTATTAGGAGTTGGTATCCTATTCATATATCTGACTGTAAGGTATCCGCATCTACGGTCGTAAGGCTTCTGACTATTCGGTGGTTATTAATAAATAAATCATAAAAAATTAAAATCTTAGGACGCAACATAATATGCCATAACTTGTAAACATCTTGCTATATATGTTTTATAAATTTGGCAATCGTTTTAACATTACTTATTGCGAATGATAGCAAGTTATTTGCGAATTTCTGACTAAGAAAACAAGGTGGTAAGTGGGAAGTAAACTGTTCTAATTTTTTTAGTAAAAATGTTTTTATATCTTGTAACTATGTATAGTTTGAAAGTATTAAACATTGTTGGCAAAATTACTGCATTGACTTTCATTTGTTTGCTACTTCTGCAACATAGTATACAATTTAAGAGTGTATCAATAAAGTCGCACTTTCAGCAAGATGTTTTAGTAGTAATAGGGTACACCGGTACAGAAAACTTTTATCATCATCATCATCATCATTACAGCCTGTTTGAGTCCACTGCTGAACATAGGCCTCCCCCACATACTGCTCTTTGCACAGGTCATCACTCTATCTAGTGGGCGGTCGTCCCACACTGCTGATTAGAGCATCCGGGCGCTTTTCTACGCAGGTTCGAATCCCGCCGAAAAATTTAGCGAAATTGGAAGCTTTTGTTGCTTTCCTCAAAAAAAAAAAAATTGCCAAAATAGTTACATAAATTTTTGTTATAAATCAGACGATGGCCAGTTCGAGGCTATCGCTCAAGAACCTTTCTTTCGCAGCGGTTATCCGTTCTACGAGCTATATGGCCGGCCCATCGCCACTTCTGAACTATGTCGGTTACCTTTGTTCTACTGCGGATGTCTTCGTTGCGAAATCTATCACGCAGAGAACTACCTAGCAGCCCGCTCCATAACTCGCTGAGCGACTTTGAGCTTCCTCATACGGTGAAAGACCACGTCTCAGTTCCGTAGGTCATCACTGGCAACACACATTGGTTGAAGACTTTAGTCCAAGTCAAATTTTATATATATTATGTATATACAGGAATATATAATTACGTATAGTTCAACCATTTTAGTGTATGGCAAACACTGATGATACGCTGTTATTTATGTAATCACGATTGTTTTAATTGGAAAAAATTGAAATACATATTTTGAACCGATTTCGAGTTAAGCAATAATATAAACTAATTTCGTGACATCATTTGAAATAACATAATAGAAATTGTACAACACGTTTTCTAAAGCTTCATGTAGCACATCGTGCTTTTTTTGTAACAAAAATATGTTGAGGAACGCAACGAAAGTTACTAATTTCCCTATGTTCTCTTGGCGAAAAATTTTTCGGCGGGATTCGAACCTGCGTTGAAAAGCGCCCAGATGCTCTAATCAACTGAGCTAAGCTGCCGATATTGTAAAGAAAATCTCGACATTGTCCACTTTGTTTATTGCATGTTTAGCAAGGCTCGCGTTAGGGATTGTGCATACTTTATAGCGTGTTTCACTTCTCAAATAGAAATTAACAATCAATATTTGAACCAACGTTCTCATTATGCTATAGCGACCGTCACTCTAGTGCTATCTATATACGTAAGCCATTTCGAAAATATACAGTATTCCTGAGCATGTTTTCCTTCACCGCTGAGCACGCGATAAGATTTACCACGCTTTTTTCCGTTTCCGTTGGAGCTTCCAACTTAAAAGTTTATAAAAACACACTTCTTCTATTCACTAGCTATGTTGTTAACAAATATCAGGTCGGCTGACTTTTATTGAGTTTTGTGGAAAAAAGCATACAGAAGGTAATTTTTTATATATAAATCTGTATCATAATGCCACCTATTGACAAGTTGTTTATATGAAAGGTATCCATGAGAAGAAAGTTTAAAATGAGATACCATACATATTTATTTACACATCATTATATTACCATTAAATTAGTTACTCTACATTGACGGACAATTTTGATTGCATTTTAGGGAATAAATTCTGAGAATGGATATAAATATTTTGTTTAGTTGTTCATTAATTAATTGAATTTAATACACAACTTAAAAAAACAAAAAGTCAAGTTAGATTTTAGAAATTTAGTTAACCACTCAAGCACTCAATCCGGCAATAGGGCTCTACTCCATTCCTCTTATTATTGAATATTCACATAAAATTCTGAACAATTACGGTGTTAGGTTCGACGCCAGAAGTTTATTCGAAATAAAAAAAGCTAAATTTATTTTTTGAGTAATGTTAATTTGATTGACTTAACGCTTAAGGAAGGTCAGTAAGTTGTTATTAATGAATTACTAATAATTTTATGATATATGAAAAAAATAAAATAAATAAAGATATATTCTTTGATTCTCATTTATCACATATTGTTATATTGCGCTCCAGTTAATTAGTTCATGACTTATACTATATTTGTCTTTATAAACCTATTAGTAACATAAATTACATGTATTGGATGACATTAAAAGTCTACGGTTATTGCACAATGGTACGATATAGTTATTATAATTATAAACAATATCAAAATTTTGTCATATTGGCCAAGCAGAATTGAAAGTTAAAAATCTTACTCTAGTATCTATATAACTGATTATGGTAAACTCGATACTTATTTCTCTTGAATCGTAACTCTGATATAGACAGAGCGCCTCGAAATTGAGCAAAATCTATCTTACTCTTACATTATCACTTTTGTGCTTTCTATGTGGAGCCGTGGAGAAATGTCATCCACGGGCCATCGGGATAAAACGATTTATCAATGCAGTTTTCATTGCTGATTAAACAATCCTTTTTGAAATTCTTGTCTCTGTCTGCGGTAGTCAATTAAAAGATTTTCGAATAAAAGTCTCCTCAGCGGGTTTCCATAAATGGTTTTAGATAGTCCACGGTGACGGTAGCGTTTTCACTGGCTCAGTGGCCGATGGATTTTGGACAAATGCTAAAGATGCGAAGCGAAACGATAAAACTTGCGGCGCGGTTCGAACAGAGAGAGTTTGGAAAACTATTGACTGCTATTTAAAAAGTTGCCGTTTCGTTCATAGTTGAGCCTTATGAAGCTATGTTGTTTCTACGCATTAAACAGACGTGTACAAGAGAATTCGCGACAGCGTCGCGTTGATTTCCTCCAACGACGTCGAGGGGAACAGCATTTTCTCTATCAGGCCCTGGCCGGCAATGCAGCACACGCTGGGCAGAAGAAGCATCAGCCTCCCCAGCCGACTGCTGTCTTTACCCGAGCAGTGCTTCTGTAGGGTGATCAACGTTTGGTCTTGCAAGATCTCTGTACGCGTACAGGACACACCGTCCAGTGCATCTGCAAAAAGTGACGATAAACTAAATTATAGACCAAATTATTACTTAAATATTGAGCTATTGAGTGACAAAATCTTTTTATTAACATTGCAGGTATTACATCTCATAATATCAGCTTCATATAATATTAGAACAAGCTTTTACTGATAACATTCAGTGGTATCCATAATTTAAAATGGATGACTTATATATTGGTGGAACGTAGCCATTTTTGAATAAACGTAGGCATCTCTAAAAAGTAAAAAAAACACTCAGTAGTACAGTGTGATTATAAGCGGGGTCTAAGTATTAATATGAATAAAGGACTTATTTTAAACTCGCATGTGTATATGTTTACGAAAAGTCAAACTAGACTGAGTTGTGTTGCCTATGTAAAAACGATGAAGAAAGCCAAGGAACATTTGTTTGTGAGGTACCTGTTCGGAATAGAAGGGCAGCTTTGAGGCAGTCGAACTCCGTCCTGTCGAGGCGACACTTTGCGATCCTGTTGATCAGCGACACCAACTTTTTGAACTCCTCTTTTACGCTCGGCTGGCTTAACGTAAGCTCCGATGGTAGGTAATCTGGAAAGGAGTTTGATGAAATTAAGACGTCAAATATTTTTTTAATAGCATGCCCATCATGACTACTAATGGGGAAATAAGTAGACTTAAAATTTAATAGTTTTAATTTAACATTTAATAATTGTAATATGCCAACATTTTGCCCATTCTTCTAACTAGATATTAAACATTAAAACGAATTTACTTAAATAAAGTGGCGACAAATTTAATCATTTGCGATTGTATTGATTTGACCAAATTGACTACGGACTACGCTACAGTTCAATTAAGTAAAAAAAGTAAAGTAACAGCCTACACAAGTTCCTCTGCTGCGCAAAGGCCTCCTCGGTACAGAGGGTACTAAGACAAACTCCATCATGTGCCCCCACGGCAGACTGCTGGACTATATAATTATATTCACAATATTATACTTCTCAACATTTAGAAAATATGTTATTTTTTCGAGAATATGCGGGTTTCCTCATAAAGTTTTCCTTCACCGCTGAGAATGTAAGTGGTGCTGGCACGGGGATTTAAATTCAGGTTGCTCGAGTATAATTAATTAATAGCGAGCGCCCGGGCACTGAGCTATCAAGGCCCTTCAATCAGCTGTTACCTAAATTGATCCCGGATGAGTTATAACAAGGATATCAAGTTTATCCCGGATGGGTTATCTCGCTTCGAGGATGGATATCAAGATGCATAACTCGCCCCGGTCACTTACCTTCGTCGAAGTAGAACGAGTACTGTGCGGCAGTGAGCACGAATATCTCCCGCCAGTTGCTGTGGAGTAAAAGCGTCTGTTCGCCGGGCTTCATCTGCCGAAGAGCTGCCACGCCGTGCAGCCATTTCACCGCGGCCACCAGCAGCTTGGTGGTGGGGTCGTTAACGCCCTGGCGTGGCCCCCTGGACTCGTGCGGTCCGTCCGAGTTTCGCGTCTTCTCAGTAGCGGACGCTGGTCTTGTGGTGCCCTCCGGATCCAGGTTGCTCGGTAGTCCGAAGTGCTTCGCGACGCAGCGGAATGGGTGGAAGCCGTGGGAGCGGTTACCGTCGTCCGTCTCTACGTCGGGAAATCGGGGAAGCGTGAAAATGTTCCACCGCACTTAATGATGCGGTTTCGCATTGCGTACGAACACAATCTTAGAGTTCGCTGCTGTTCAGAATTCGCGTCATGTGCATAAAATCATCGCGTCGATGAATTAATTATAGCCATGCGTAGTCAACGACGTTGGCAATTTATACACATTGTTGCATAGCTTTTGAATGGATAATGTCAATTAACGTTAAACCGCTATCATAGCGACTATCGATAAACCTTAACGCCATGAAAACCTCTACGTTAATATTCAAACCAGTTAGACTACAGTAGATTATGTCAGAATATAGTATTCACAGGTACGCAAGTTACGCTCAGCTAAATGAAATATGATGTGACTTTTTATGAATTATATTTTAATATTAATTGTTAATATGAGTTAATGTAAATAAAATAAAACGTAAATGAAATATAATAACTAATATCTTTTCCAAAATACACAATTTTGTTTTTATGATAACTTTTTTACAAGGCATTTTCGTTTTTGTTTTTCACTTTTACTCCGGTCTGTTCTTGTTTTTCCTCTCACCTTCTTTATCGAGACCCGTAGCGGGGCTGTCGTGTCTGCGAGCTTCTTCGGAGCTGGACACTTCATCCTCCTTCACTTTTTCCGGGAGTTGCGAATCCGGTTTCACCGCGTCGTCGTGCCGCGCTCCGTGGTACTCTAGTGACGTCTCATGTTCTGATGGCGTTCAAATATTTGCTATAAAGACTTCATAAAGGCGACGTATTGATTTAATTAATAATGCGGCTATCAGTTACAAAGAGATTCCGAATAGTTATATATCAGGAGCTTCCATATAGGTATCGATTTCTTGACATAACAACTATATTCTTTATATTCTCGACATAAGAATTATATATTTTATAAAAAAAAAAATCTTATATCCACAACACAGATGAGTATATGCGCGGCCCTACCCATGGAGGAGGGCCTCAAACCCGTGGGTTCTGGCTAGCCCACGATTCTGCATTCGACGAAGCTTTAATAGTCTAAGGACTGAAAGCGTAACATCAGTTATAAAAAAAAAATTATATGCTTGCTCATCTTCTCACATGAAAAAAGGAAACACGCATTCCACATTTCATCCGTCACCCTCACACTCGTACTCACCGTCGGCAGCGTGTAAACGCAAATCGCAGCTCTCCGTGGCGACGGGTGGGTAGAAAATATTCGCCGGGAAATAGCCGGCTGATTGCGACGGATAGTGCAGTGATGTGTGGAAGAGGGGTATCTTGAACGGGTTGAGGGAGTCCAGCGCGCCGGCCGGTGCGTTGAGGATGCTACCGAGTGGGATGTCCGGCGGTGAGCAGTCGGGAAACCTGCCGAACTCGCGGAAGCCCTCGAGCGCTTGTGCGCCGTAAGGGTGGAGGGGTGGGAAGGCGGTGACCGCCAGGGGGGCGGGGGGGAGCAGGCCCGGGTGGCGGTAGCCGTAGCCAATCTTCTGCAGCGGGAACTGCTGGCCGTTGAGCGCCGGACGCCGCGCCCGCTCGTGCTGGACAGCTGCAAGGATAATGTGACCGACGTTTTCATTCTACACACGTGACAGATCTGTGTACGATATAGAATCGGTGACTCCGTGGCGCAGTGCCAAGGTATTTGCCTTCGGCGTCGCGGGTCGTGAGTTCGACTCATACGGGGCAACAATTAGTTTGACGTACAAATAGTTGCTTAGCAACTGCGTGTTTGTTCGCGTGAAATTTATGTTTGTAAAACGTCCTTACAACACAGGATAATGTTATCCTAAAGCAAGGGCAATGTTTAAAAAACAAAATAAAATAATGCGTTTGTAATGCACGGTATACCCACTGTATTCAACGTCGCACACAATTCGTTGAGTAAATGCGTTTTAAACAAATTTAAATGGCAACAAATAATATTTGAATAATTCAAATTACACATCAATTGTCAAATCCTAATCCTTGTGTACATAGAATGTGCGTATTATTTTCAAGAAAAGATGCAAAGTTTTGGCTAAACGCATTGATAATTATATAATAGTATGAAAAATTAAAGCAAGCCACTGGATCAGCATAGAACCATTACACATTTTTCATTTATATGTAGGTTGTATATTTTTATTGCACTAAAGTCTGAGTATTCGCCTTAGTGTACGGTCGCTTACAACGTGGCAAAAAATTGTGACAAGGCCCTATTGTAACGTCGAAGAAAATTATATAATAATAATAATAAAGGTTTATTTAAACAATTAGAAGAGAACAAAAACATCATCTACAATATTAAACATAATAAGTACGTTTACAAAACCTGTTCACATTTGAATAGTGAACCCTGCACTAGGTTGTCAATTAGCTAGCTAATCAAGGATCATAACATTACTTTCACATCATAACATAATTAATTAAAAGTTGCAAAAAATATGTGTGTATTTTTATATATTTATAATATAAGTGTATTATTATGTATAATAGTATTATGTGAATGATATATCGATGATATGAATATTATATATCCGATTAAGGACAAGGATGTGTGGAAATGACTCTTGCTCTGTACTTGCAAGTTAATGCTTACTTAAGTTTGTATAAATTGTATCAGTAAAAAAAAGATAACAAGACCGCAGAGTTTCTTGCCCGTTCCTCTCTAGTCAGGCCTAGTTTAGTGAACCGGTGCTACGAGTAATGATTTTTTAACGTTCAACAAGAGCTTAAATTAATCCTATATTGAATGAAGAAATTTCGATTTTGACTTTGAAAATCTCATGCTATGGAACTTAACAGAGAAAATACAGTCCGAGTCTACGTGCCGCACGCAGAATCACCGCCGAGGGTCGCGTGGAAATATGAAAACAAACACGTGGGGCGCAAGCATGACGGAGTGACAGCGCGACGTCACTATCCTGGTATGATGATATCGTATTAAACGGTGTGTTGGGCGTCCGTCGGTTGCGCGGTGAGGTCGCGGCGGCAAAGTGTCGTGCAAACACCCCTATGGGGGTTCCGAAGGATCCGGCAGCGTCGGCGTATGTAAATACGAAGCGGCTGCGTTTGACAGTTTCGATTAGGAAGCGTACAGACAAAAAAAAGGAAACTTGCGGACGGCTTGCTCTTGACCTCGTCCTCGAGTACGGGGATAGTATTAATTTGTAAACGTCAGATCACTATTTGTCCACTATCATTACCGATACCGCCATGGGCAGTGCCCTCACATTGCGTATACCGATTGGTGGTTTATTATTTTACTTTTTTTCAGCGGTTACGTTGTAAGGTACCAAACGGCAAACACGCTCACAAACTACCGCTTTTATAATAATAATGTTAGTGATGATTATTAACACATGAAATTTTATTTGTTATTACATTAATAAAATTTTATCGTCTTGTTTTGTGGTAGAAACAATGCTCCAGTTTATCGAAAGTGAATGTGTTCCATAATGCATTACAAATTCTCCTGACTTACTCCTGGTAGTCTTATAATATGCCTGGTTGAATGAATTAAAATATTATGAAGATATGTTATAAATCTTCGAAGTATATCATCTTTAAATTACGAATTTATTAATATACATCATAGCTGCATTTAAATTGAATTACAAATAGATGGAATTGTTGAATCCATATCGAATATTATTTTTGACACATTATTGTTATCTGTAAGCATTTTTCCTAAAATGGACTGGCATAATTTATACAGTATGTAACGACCCTTAGGGTGTCATATTCTATATATTTGAACGGACACTTTAAGCAGTTAAGGTGTCCCGGATTGTCATTCGTAGCAAAATAATAGGTTGGGATGAAAGTTTCTTCGCATTTTATAAGAAAATTCAAAACATTTTTTAATAAAGTTTATTTACATTTAACTAAAGTATGTAGGTTCCATTTTGTTCGATAACTTTCTGCCATCTTGTAGGTAGAGACATGATCTCATTGCTATAGAAATTCTGGGGCTTCTGATCAAAAAGCCGCTTGTTTTGGCAGTCCTCTCGTGATGTTAAGTGACACTGCCTAAAGAATTCTGAAGAGACCGAAACAAGTGGAAATCTGTATACGGCGGTTGCATTAACACCTCCCAGCCAAACTCTCTTAATTTTTGAAGTGGAGTGGTTTCGGAGTGGCTAAAGATGTGTGAGGTCTAGCGTTATCATGATGAAGAATCACACCCTTCTGTTGATCCATTCCGGCCGCTTTCTCTCAACTTCTTGCTTTAGTCTCATCAGTTGTTCGCAGTAGAGTTCACAATCACAATGGTCTTGCCTGGCGGTAACAGCTCAAAATGAATAGTGCCCTTCCAATCCCACCATTCACACAGCATTACCTTGTTGCGGGATAACCTGGGTTTCGCCAGAGTCTGTGAAGCCAAACAAGCCTTTGACCACGACCTTTTTCACACGTTATTGTCGTACGTGTTGCACTTTCATCGCCAGTTAGCAAATTTTTTTTTAAATTTATTTAATCCAGTAATAAAGTACAATAACATAAATTATTCTCTGTCAAACTGTGATGCAGTTTGTCGGCAGCAGTTCTCGTGAATAGTTACATCGATGTACTTCATCCTTACTAATATGACACCTATGTATAATATCTATGTATCTATTTATATATATATATATATATATGTGTGTATGTATAATATGTATATATAACCTTATATATATTTCTTAATTATAATTATAAATAGTTTGGTTTCATTACGTCCAAAACTGTTTTCTGGTCAGTTCCCAGTTCTTCAGCTACATCTTAACTACTGACTACCGATATGCCGATCTTGCTCCACTTTTTCAGAAAATGGCATCCATTTTATCCGTAACAGGGCGCCCAGAGCGAGGTGCATCTTTGACATCAAAATTTCCGGATTGAAAACGCTTAATACAAATTTGTGCTATTCTCACAGACAGGGCACTAGGTCCATAAAAATCACAAAATTTTTTCGCGGCTTGCGTTACATTTTCACCTTTATATAGTAAAATTTTGAAATGAAAATTGAAAATGAATTTCTTCATTAGAATCACCCATGTTGACGGTGAAAAAACAAATGAAAATCACACATTTTCCTATCGCTATCGAATAATTGCGATGTAGCAGAATTACGTTGATTGTTTTGTGAGTAACATAAAATTAAGTTTAGTGTCATATGTGATCGATAAAATAGGTAGTGGGCAATCTAAATTTAAGAACAATTGCGTTTCTCTCTTCGCATAATCGCACCATCTAATATATAAAATTCTCGTGTCACGGTGTTTGTAATTGAACTCCTCCGAAACGGCTCGACCGATTTTCGTGAAATTTTGTGTGCATATCGGCAAGGGTAGAGAATCGGACAACATCTATTTTTCTTTCCCCCTAAATGTTAAAGGTGGTCCACACCAAACATTTTTCTCTACCCTACAAATAATTTATATGACAAAACAACGTTTGAAGGGTCAGCTAGTATACTATAAACCTTTTCTATAACTCTTTAAATATTGCTTTAAAAGACCATTAAAAACTTTTCACCGATGTTCAAGCATCATCGTAACTTGATTAACTTAAACGTCGCGGAAGTGATGGGCGTTACACAAGTAAGGCACCGTACGATTTAACCTTTGGGGAAGTTGGAACCGTGCGGGGTACACGACACCGCAGCTAGTCCGGAGCCGTGCGAACTGGCAGCCTGCGCGGTACAGTCGGCGGCAAGAGTGGCGAGCCCCCGCGACCGTCGACCTTGTCACCAGGCCACAATGCCGAATGTCGCGCGACTGTACCGGGTACCACACGAATGCTGCCGCGCCCCCGATTCGCGCACGGGTTTTTATCAATCGCCACTTACTGACACTTGTGTACCGCAAATACTCGAGATGTCGACTAATGGAAAAGACATGCTGCGAAGGAGAGGCCTGGATAAATACTTGATTGAGACGAGCGCCCGATCCTCGGTTATTGATTTCGACCTTTTATACATTTCTCTTCTCGCTTTCTACGCTACATTCGATCGAAACGGATGTGGTTAGAAAAAAAACATATCCGAATCCAGGACTAGCAAAGATTTTAAAAATTATGCTATAAACTGTTACAGCTTAAATGATAGTAATAATATTAACCGGAGGAGATTGATTTTTTTGTTTGGACGCGCTAATCTCTGTTATTATAGGAGTCACATTGACAAATTCACACTTATTAATTTTTCTGAGTATTTATTGGATAAAATTTAACATCACTATACTAGGTTTAGAAGTGAGCTATGCGGTTGTTAATTTTCAAATTAAGTAAACAAAAGCTTCCACCTCGAAGGAGATCTTTGCGCCCTCGGACATTTTATGGAACAATAATATAATTTAAAATAAATCTGCGTCATACAGATCTATATTTTTATATACTCTAATAACTGCGTATTAACCAAATATATCTTCTCATCATTATTTTTCCCACCCATCCATTACCCATCCAGGTGGAGTGAGTACACGTAAATCATAATGTAAGTGGTTTTAGCTAGGTATCAAACGACTAACAATTTCATACCAGATCACACACTTGTTCTGTGTGGCAATCTATCCCACCATGTCCGGATCCGAATCTAATAGCTAAACAAATTGCTCACCGAGTCATCAACGTCATATCTAACTGATGTAATCAAACAGTGACGTGGGCGTTTTATACGTATATCGGTATCGGATATTGTGCTAATGAAAAAAGGTATAATTGTTTTTACGAAAACTGCATATAAGTCAATAAAACTTTTTTGTTACGGATTTTAATCGCATTATTATGATATACATATTTATGATATGTACATGATTTTGTTTGTCTTTTTATAGATAATGGTATTGTTTTCTATATATTTTTGTTCTGAACTCATCTGTAAACTTACCCATGAAATAGAAATAGGTTGTAAACCTTGAAGGGATTTTATCGGCTTTAACTTTTCGAAGACCATTATAATGAATTCTTTTAGTATATTGGAGTTAAGTGGTTAGAAGTAGGACGCTTTAAGGTAGTTGTATAGGTATATCCTACCTTCCTTCTTCATGTTGACTCGAAGACACTTCGAGAAGCGACAGGCTTGGCATTGGTTCCGTCTGCTCACATCCACTACGCAGCGACCGCTCTCTTTACACACGTAATCCAAGTTTCTAAGAGAAAAATAACATTGTTAGATTCTCTCTGTAACCCTTAATCGCTACTGTAAAATAACGGCATATAAATGTCCTACTGCTGGGCAAAAGCCTCCTCTGTAATTATGTGTTTGTGAATAGGCGACAATTCTGAAAGTCAAAATATTTGATTTGTGGTCATACTCAACAACGAAGCTAGGATGGACTTCGATTGGCATTTAGTAATAAGCCCCATCCATTGACACTGTTTACAACTGGTTTTATAACTTTAAGCGTGGGCGTAGCTCCGTGATAATCCTTCAACAGCGACATCAGTGCTGTGCGACGATTCAGCAGATTCGGGAAAGCTTAGGCTACTACTATTGGTATGAGTAACAAGTATAGAAAATATTACACAACCGTTTAGGCGTTTGGAAGCGGCTTGTATCAGAGGTATTTCAAACACTTTGACCGAAGCATGGAGGATTGCCGTCGCGAAATTTTAGAATAGTTCAACGGAGCTGACTATAATGCTGTATTTGACATCGTCACAGGTTGAAACGTGGACAAATTCCTACGAACCCGAAACCAAAAGGCAATCCGCTCAGTGGGTCACTCCTTTTGAGATTGGGTCAAGTAAAGTGAAGAAAATAAGAAGTCAAGGAGAAAAGATGATGCCTCGTTCTTTAGTCGGTAAGGTTACCGAAGGCTGGTATGTTAAATGTTATTTGCTTCTTGTCTTGGAAAACGTTTGACAGCAGCGTCCTCGAAGCAGGATCATCCTTCACCACTCAACGTTTCAGCGCACTCAGCGAAACGAGCAGTTGGATTTTTTTTGTAAGTATTTGCGTTTTACACATTTGGTAGATACATTTTTACACAACGTTCTCTAGTCCCGAAACAAGTAACGTTTGTACTATAGGTGTATTACCTGAATTGAGAACTGATAAACAAATTAAACATACTTTTCATTTTTAAAAATAAATACATATTACATTTACATATATAAACACCCAGACATTGGAAAAACAATCTCATCACACAATACTTTCCAGTTATTTCCAGCGGGGATTGAACCCACACCCTCTGGCTTAAGAGGCAGGTTCCTTACTCCTCAAGCCAATCGGGTCGTCAATGAATATTTGACAGGTGTCGAGATAATGGGTCATCCGAAGAACCGATAACGGATGGTGAAGGAAGGTGTACGGGAAGTCGATGGACGCAGGTGACGTGCTTCGTGACGGTCTGTGGGGGAGGCCTATGTTCGGCACTGGACTCAAACATGCTGAAATAGTGTTGGTGTGGATTAGTGGGGTACGACCTATAGTTTTTAATGTCTATGGGCGGTGACATTACTATCGCCTATTCTTCGATAGACATTCCACCAGAGGAGTTGCCATAACGATGCCTTTCAGAGAAGAATATGTTTTCTTCTTTAAGGTTTGTAAGTCTGGTTAAATAAGTAACTTATTTAAGGTGTTGGAAAGTATAATTAGCTTACCTCCTTATGCTCCTTTTAAAGAAACCCCTGCAGCCATCACAAGAGGCGACTCCATAGTGCTTGCCTGACGCCTTATCACCACATACACGGCACAGAACCTCCGGCTTACCCTCCCTTATCTCCATCATCTGTGTAGCATACTGATATAACTATACTATAGATATATAACTCGGATATAGAACTCGGTTGACTGGTAGAGAACACCTAATGGTGTTAAGTCCGCCATTGTACGTTATTGTGCATAAAGTTTTTAAATAAATAAATAAATAAATATAATATAATAATAAGTATTCCATGAACTGGAACGCTGCAGGGTAAGGTGTAGTAGGAATTTAAAACCCATTTGATATAATCAAATAGTCTCACTTTACAAGGTGTGGTTGATTTCCGTGGGCGGTGGTAATCAGTTATCATCACGTTAACCGCCCACCCGCTTGACAACATTTCACCAAAAATATATGGGCAGACAATAACTTATATACAATAATAACGCGAAAAACAAACAAGGAGCAAGCAAGACAAACCCGATAGTGTAAAACTGAGCATTGCTCTTTTAGGGAAACAAAGCGCCAACTTTAGAGCTTTTCACCCACACAAGGCTTTCAACCCCTTTCTGAAGGGGGAAGCGAAGGCAAGAATAAGGCGGGCTCCCGTTAGTAACACCCCTAATAATTGTGGTGGCTATTAATTGTCCCCGTAGTAAATAAAGGTGTGCAAGACATCTCTGTCTTAAGCAAACAGCCATTACGATTTGTGTTATATGCACTGCTATTTTATTTTATTTCTAAGATACTACAGTACAATACAACATGGTTAAACAATCAGACCGGGAATAAATAGTTATAGGACAAAAGGACTAGTCTCGTGCGGCAAACGAAGACACTTTTGTGACGTCAAAGCCAGCAACTTGGGACTGTAAGAAAGAAAGAAAGAAAATAAATTTATTTACCAAAAAAAGGACGCACACCATAAAAGAGAAATAAAAACTAAAATTAACAAAAAATAAAAAAAATATACTTCTAACTACTGTAACAGGAGAGCTATATATTCATAAAGGAAATATAAAATTTCATCAGTCACGCTTGTCGTGACATTTATATTTTAACTACTTTAACTGTTCGAAATATTACAGTGATCCGATTGGTAATTTAAGTCCAAATATATATTTATCAATAAAGGGTATCTCATTTTAGAGAATAACAGTAAAATGAAGTACTTAGTAATCTTCCATACAAATAAATTTTAATTACATAGCATTATCATTCACATTTTTTATAAGAAAAATTTTAAACTATTTTTCTTTTACCAAAACATTTACTTTAATCTACTTGTCTATGTTCTTGAAAAGCGGTAAAATGTTGTTTAAATCATTATATGAATACGCGCGTAAATAGAAAACGCTAATTGAGTTTCAAATGCGTCAAGAACTAATCATAATTTCTTTGGAGCCGTAGATTGGACATGGATCATAGGCCTTTATATCGCCACGATGGTGACGGGGGCCAGCTGTGGTGCGAATAATAAACGTGCCAGTCGCCAGATTAAATATAAATGTATGCGCATAAGTATCTCCTGACACAATGGGCCCAATCAATTTGGCGGTATTCGCGGCGACACTTGCAGGGGAGTCGCGGGCGCTCTGAAAGAGTTCTGCCTTGTCATCGCGCGAGCGCCATTAATAATCGATTCCAAATCCAAATTCGATTTCGCCGCGAAACTGATCGCGCCCGTCGACATCGAACCCGCCCAAATGCGCTATTGATAACCCAATATAACACGCGCAACGCTCCTGCCATTATTTTGAAGTAAAGTCCAGCGTTAAAAGTAACGACAAGTTCGCCTACACCATTTATATCACATATACACCATAGAGGAATTCTAAGGCCCCGCCGCCATAGATTATAATAATGTAAATCGTTCTTTTAGTTATTTAGAAACAAAAACATGTTCTACATGACTGAAATGGAATTTGAATTGCAATTAAGTACTTTTATTAATTATAAAACGTAATGCAGTTATCTAACGTAATGCAGTCTACATACTGAGCGGATACCTTTTTGGTGCATACATTTTTACGATCTTATTCCTTATTTATTTTTCCTGTAATGTAATGCGCCGAATAAACATTTCTTTCTTTCTTATGATTGTAATACTTAGTGCGTCCGATGGCTGAACGGTGGCTACATTCCACTGCAGATATTCAGTCGACCTCTGAGAGGGTAAGCTCTAAATTACATTTAAGTTCAGCTTTATTACGAGTACTTGACGAGTATTTTATGAAGAGAAATTATGCAAAGCTAAAATGGGCCGTGGAACACAATAACGGTGGAGGTGACGCGAGCTGACAACTCGATGGGAGCAGCACCCAGCGACACCTGGTGGCTCCCACGGGCCGGGCGCGGTCCGCCCCATTATCCCCGGGCCCCTTACGGCGACAGCCGTGTAACTTTGCGGCGACATCTAATACTGGCCGGCTTACCTAACTGGAGTTTAATCGAGACTTTCGTCTGCTTCATAACAGGAACTGTTTAGCTGCGGTAGGGCCACGGAATAGTGTTCACCGTTGCACGATTGGGATAGGCCCGTCCAGGTAAGTACCGCGACCTCACAGACCGGCGTAAAGTAGAAGTGTTACACTTCTGCGTTGCGTCTGGTGCTTGAGGAAGTCGGGGCCCACTTTATTTAAAGATGGCAACGCTTCTGCAACCCTACGGGTATTGCAAACGTGTACCAACATGCATGCGTGTTGTGTTTTTGCCACTTCGCTGCATTAAAAAAACTCTACTGCGAATTCAACAGAAACGCCTCTCGAGGGAGAACATGCCGTCAGCGTATTAAAAAGCAACGTTATAGCTGTCCGGATAATATCGATTCGCTTCCGTAACGGAATCGATGGGAATGGTAGCGCCACGCGACGGTCGTTAGCGGGGCCCGGGCCGATTGGGCGCGCCCCAATTACGCCGTATGGCGAGAACGCCTAGCAGCGGCCGCTAATTATCTATTAATGGTAAACGCCCGCAACCCGACGTAATTGCTATGCTTGACTTTTCGTGGGCGCCGCCCGTGCGTAAACACGCGGCGTTTTATCCGATTTGAATGTTTTAGAAAAAAAAGACAGCAAGACAATGTAACCTATGCGAGTTGGCTTATTTTAAAAGTGTAATAGTACTTTTTTCTTTTTGATATTTAAATATCTTGTCAATCCGGTAGGGCTATAGTGGTATTTTCAAAGATGGTTATATACACCCTTTTATATAAAAATAATGTTTCGTTGCTTGGTTAAAGGCTGTAAATAATCTGCGTCATTTATGGTTAGCGATGCAAGTAGAAGGCCGAGAAAATACAGACACTTGCAGTGTATGCAAACTGCTGGCACGCAGTCAGCTGAGGGAGCACGTAATGTTTGGTTTGGGTGGCCGCATATTGTCGGTTGCGGTAAGTGGCATAATTAAATAATCTATTCCGGTAGTGTGCCCAAACGCGCCGACATTCGAACTGCGGTCCCGCCTCTTGAAACCTGTTACAATATTCACAAGGCCACGTCGAACTCCGAGTTACAGTGGGCCGTATAATTGAGGAAGGTATTCTATAACTCTATTTTTATGGAAGAAGGTGGGAATTGACAGGCAGTAATATTATTGTAATCAAATTGTCGGGCAAATGGAAAATACATATTATGGGCGAAGCAAAGTGATAATTACAATGTACGCTCTAGCCGAAATTTCGAATATTTCGAAAAAAAATTTTACGAAATCTACGATCTCTATGATCGATGTTTAAATGTTTTTTGTGGCAAACGAGCTGGCGGTTCACATCGCCACCCATTGACGTTGCAACACCCTAACGCCCGGTTTCTGAAACACAGATCATCGTAGATGTCAACTAATCGGCTGTCAAATGGATTTCAAATTACAATTTAGGTACCAACAAGATGGTTAAACTCTCTGAATTGACCAGAATGATCTTCTTTAGGATCAGAATGATCAATAAACTAAAATAAAATGAAATTTGAAATTCATTTGACAACTGATTAGTTGACATCTACGTTGATCAGTGTTTCAGAAATCGAGCGTAAGGGTTGCAGATGCGTTGCCACCTTTTAATAAAGTGGGCCCCGGCTAACTCAGTCACCAGACGAAACGCAAAAGTGTAACACTTTCATTTAACGCTGGTCTTCTGTGAGGTCGTGGTACTTGCCCGGACGGACCTGCCTATTCGTGCAACAACGTGTTGCGTGTCCCTACAACAGTATAATAATAACTTTATTCTGAAGAACCCTAAGTACAATTTCATTTCTCTCCCGATTCCCACACTAGTAGGATGCCATTCACAGTGCCGCTGACAAAAATGCATAGTTTAGTATAAGTAGTAATTTTACTTCACGTCTGTTATCTTTGAGGCTTTATTAATTCCCTTAGTTCCTATTTCATTAATCGACTTCAAAAAAGAAGGAGGTTCTCAATTCGACATTCTTTATGTTTGTCACCTCAAAACTTTCGATTGAGTTATTTTTTTATTTGCAAGCTGGTGCCGAAATTTGGTTCAGCTCTGACAATGGCATCCACCAGAAAACCATGTAAGTCTTAAATTTGCATTAAGTATGTGCGCGACAAATGGACGAATAACTCAATATCACGCAAACCGATATCAGCACCTCTCTCAAGACTCGGGGAAGTCAACAGTTAATATTTGAATCACCTACCGTAACGTCGTTATGGTTATGTAATTATCGTAGTCGAATATGATGATCAATAGAACTTAACGGCTTACAGTAAGGGTGGCAAGTCGTTTTCTCATATGAGCAGCATCTTTGCTAGGTATACTCATATTATACAATACCCAAATATCGAAATTGCCCATCAAAGGCTGCATCGCCACCTACATGGCAGTCAAGTGCTGGCCAGTTCGAAATAAAAAAAGAAGAAAAATTGAATCATTAAAAATAAAAACAAAAATATTTTTAACAAAAAGAAAAATAAAAGAACCGACTTCAAAAAACTGTATTAGCACTAAAAAGTTTAAAATAATAGGTACTAAATTTATATTATAACCCCTAACAAAATTAAACAATCTATGGAGTCGGTCAGTCAGTCAATTTATCTGAGAATAAAATAATTGTCACTACTTT